AAATTACTGTGGCATCTTCAATAATAGAGACACGTTGGAAATCGGTAGGATTTGAGTAATGTCCTCATTATCACAGGTATGGGACCTGTGGTTATTTAAATTGTATTGAATTATAACCTCAAAACCACATCTATCCAAACTATAGGAAACTATAATGTAAGATATATTGAATCACGGCTAGAGAACGGGGGTACCCAGATTTGGTATAATTGTGGTTCATTTTCATTTTGAGAGATTGCAAACTCTAGGCAAAAACATTAGAATCTATGACTTTTGTAAATTTAATAATGTATGTTAGATTTGTGCCTTCCTCACCTCCACACATTGTGTCTTACATTACAGGTGTGGTTTTCTAACCGGCGAGCCAAGTGGAGACGAGAGGAAAAATTACGCAATCAACGCCGCCAAGCTAGCAACACCTCCAGCCACCTCTCTATTAACAGTTCTTTTTCTGGCAGTATGTACCAGTCCATACCGCAACCCAGCAGCTCAGGTACGAAGCTGTCCTATACCAAGGAGCAGTTTGTCAGAATCTCAAATATTATGGTCAATGCATTAAGGGTACCTCTGGGGCAAAATCACAAAGTGCCTACTGAAACCAATTTCTTTTCATTTGGTCTACAGGCTCTATGCTGGGCAGGAATGAGGCAGCTATAACAAACAGCTATGGATCCCTACCACCTCTCCCAAGCTTCACTATGCCGAACAACCTCCCAATCCAGGTTTGTTTAAAAAAAAAAAAAATTATCTCTGAAAAAAAGAAAGCAGGAATGGAATAATAATAGCTGGGTTTCTATACCATTTCTAATGAAGTAAAGACATGAAAGTCTGCAGGAGTCTTGGTAAATTAAACTATACTCTTGTTTCACTGTGGAAAACCAACTAGGTGTTTGGTGGTCAATGATGGGCGATGATTTGTCCATTCTGGTATTTGTATATTATAAAAACACAACATCATTTTTAAACTGGAATCATTGCCATAGCATGAATCTTACTTTTCTAGCTTGATTTGTAGTTTAAATATTTAAATGAAATTATTTAATAATAATAATAAATAATTCAAATGTAATAATTGAAACCAATACAGTGCATGCCTGAAGCGTCATAGGGGTGTCATCAGCAAGGCCAGAACTAGAGTTAATGTCAATTCTGTGCAACGCCTGTGCAACAGAATGACAGTCATTGGCTGACAGCAGTCAGCTGACATTCTCAGTCAATGTATGTCAACCCCTTCGGCATCCGGTTTATGCAGAGCTTAAGAAGATGGAAGCACGCCACTGTATCACCTGGGAGCATTTGAGCTTAGCAGGGACCCAGGTAAAGGGGGCAAACTGTTCCTAACCCATTTATCAAGGAGGCAAACCATTTATCAAGGGGGCAAACCATTGCTAAACCGTTTGCCCCATTATCTTGGCATAAAAACCCCTACAGTGGGCTAGAGTACAAAAAAATAAAATCATTGAATAGTAGATATACTCCCAATGAAATGGGTTATTTACTAAAGTGAGAATTCAAAGGGAATTTACACTGAATTTCAAATTTAAGGACAGAGTAGCTGAACTGAAAGTACAGAATATATCCATTTGGGCTATTTATCCTTACATTTTAAATTCACTAGGGATTTACTTTGAATTCTCACTATAGTGAATAACCCTGATAAAAACAGCTTGCAAAATCTGCTTTGCAAGCCCGCCCCTTCTAACCCCGCCCAGACTTTCTGTGGCTGTCCAATCACAGGCTTCCCAATGTAGCTCAATGAGAAGTCTTCGTATGGCAAGTGCTGTGTGCAATTTTCTGTCTTTTGAGTTTAGCTCCACTGAGCTATACTGCCAAGAAGTAACATGACCAGTTGTCTGATTGACAGTCAGAGGGGTGTAACAAGGTTAATTTAGAAAAGTGCCAATTTATATTTTTTGTAAAACGAAAAAAGAGAACACACTCTTCACACACAAAGCATTTCAGCAATTTAAAGTGATTTAGGGGTCTGGGCACATTTCACACACAGGCATTTACTAATATTTACATTTCTTTGTACACAGCCTGTAGCCAGTCAGACCTCCTCTTACTCTTGCATGATTCCATCAAGCTCTTCAGTGAGTGTTCGAAGTTACGATGCCTACACCCCTGTTCAACTACAGACTCATATGAATAATCAAAACCTGGGATCAGGCACCACCGGCTCCACAGGTATGTCTTTTTCCAGACCAATGATGGCTGACTACAACACTTCAAATATTTCATAAGTACATTTTTAATGTGATACTCAGCCAGCATTAAAGGACAGGGGGAGAGGGAATGATGCAGGGCAGGAGAATGCGACAAATGAAGGATGTCTCTGAGGGATGGAGATAGGAACAAAGATTAAGAAGGTAGAAGGGCTTAACTCACCTGACGTGGACATAGTTACGAGGAATCTGTACTCATATTGAATTTAGCCAAAAGGTTGCACTTACATCTAACCATGCAATTTTTTTCTCCTCTCTCCGATTGCAGGACTAATTTCTCCAGGAGTTTCTGTTCCTGTGCAAGTTCCAGGTGGAGACCCAGATCTCACTCAGTACTGGTCAAGGCTCCAGTAAGGCATGGAACACACTGATGAAAGACAAAGAGTTAAGACTCACAATATATGGGATGCTATTTTTGATTACTCACTGCTTTGAAAAACCAAGAGGCAATGTGGAGATCAGAAAAATGTGGACTTCACCTACAAACTACAGAGCCAATACCACATATTTATTGTTGTTGTTTTTTTTTTTATATACTCTTCTAAGCAGTTAGTCATGTATTTCTTCAAGACTTCTTAAGACTTAAAAAAAGAAATGGTGCAAAACACCAAACAAACAATTTGTATGTACCCCTAAGTCTGAATCGTGCTTTATAAGAATAGGTTGATGTTTATCATCTTTGAGTCAGTGGACATCAACCACTTTGAATACTGATTCAATATTGACTAACAGAAGACGTGGAATATTGATGTATGAAATGTATGAAACTATAATCAACGAGATAATTAAACAGCAAATCAAAGAAACAAATATTATCTTGATATATACTGTCTTCTCGATACAGTGAAAAAACCCAATTGCAAGACATTTCCTTAACAACTAGGCTGATACTCGTTTCCAATTATATTATCAGCTCGCATCAACCGACTAATATTTAACTATTTCATCTCTAAAAACAGTTATTCATTAAAAGTAGGGATATAAAATGGGCAAAATATAAATACGATTATAAACTATATAAACACCTACCATTCTTTTCTTCATGGGAGTTTCGAAACGCGTCCACGTGTGCCTGTAACAGAAAGGAAAACACAGATATATCTTAAACTTGGACTTGCATTTTAGCTTTATTGCATAATATATTGGATTGTTTAATTCTTACATTGGAAAAAATATTCATATCTTATATATGTCATATCTCGCAAATAACGCCCTTCTTATTACAATGACTTTCATCTTATAAGCTACAATGTCCCCAGTGGAAAAAACATAGACCTCCTTCCTGCAATCTCCCAGATATCTTAATTTGAAGTACCAGCGACACACATGGGACAATACAAGATTACAGCATCTTTTTCTGATGTTCTCTCGGAATAAGGCGGAACAGAGATTATATGTATCATTACTGGACTCCGCATTGTCCACACAATAATTCTGAATACTGCCCCACGCTTGGTCGCCATGGCTGTGCTCGACGGAATATTGATTTTTGGAGGAAAACTGGATATATGTAAATTAAATTTTTGCTCATGTTGTGAGTTCTCAAGAGGTTGTTGGTCCCAACGCGATTGCATTTGTTATAGATTCAAAAAATGGATACTGGAAAAAGTATTATTATTGTCTTGCTTCAATGCATGATATTTTAGAACACAAAAATGTTTTTATCAACATATTTATTTCTATTGTTGTGTTATCCTTATTCAAGAACAAACTACCAGCAACATATGAACACAACCTTGTTTTTAATTTCTATGTACATAAACACCACTTTAAAGTCTCTGATTTGAGCATGAATACTGGGAATGATCGAATTATGTCGAATAAGGAAGGCATAGGGTCGTTAGTTAATGCTAAGGTTGCTCTGACATCAGAATGCTCTGCTTTAAAATACATCTTTGCAGTTTTTAATATAGTCAATAAAATTGAAATACATAGTTATAAGGAACCTAAATTTATATGTAGGCATTATTCCATACGTAGTTTTTCAGGCTATACACAATGGAATGATGGAACCTAATATTATCATCCACGGATTTACAAAGATTCTGACTCTGATAGGCTGCAGTTCCTGGAATGATTTTACCAGTGATTGTATACCTCCCAAGCGTCCCTTTTCAAGAGGGACAGTCCCTATTTCAGTTCCAAATCTCTCTGTCCCTCTGTTGTAGGAGCTTAGCTCAACATTCTTAGTGTGGCTGAATTTGTAGCAGAGAGCCACAACACTAACAGTTAAGATTTCTTGCTCAAACAGGAGAAAGCAATGTAAAATGTGGCCCTAACCATTAATTCCATGGGGACATTATACATGGTCAATCAAGAACGGACATGATTACATAAATCACAACTATCTAGCAAATTAGAGCTTACAGCTAGTGCATGTGGACATACATAGCTGATCGGCTATATTGGGGTTCTTTTCTATTTTGTCAAATTTTTTGTTTCTCAATTTTCTTCTGATGTAATATATACCTTACTGTATCACTTACATGTCAATGTTAAACCTTATTTTCCCCAAAACGGATATTGTGAAATAATTGCATGTTAGAAACAAACAAACAAACAAACAAACTCTAAAGCACATGTTAAGGAAAATGTATACACTTTTAAAGTTTAAAAAAACTAAAAAAAAAAAAAAAAAAAAGATTTGCGGAAAATGACATGAAAATTAGGCTGCACATATATATCTATTTATGCAAGTCAGCATTTCATATTTACTTCCTGTACTGGCCTACAACTCCTACGAATATTAGCCTACACTGTTTGTCGAACATGCATCTAGAACAGGGGTAGCATTGGGCCAAAAGAAAATCTTGATGTCCCTTGGTGTGCCGGTGTGCATGTTGCACGCATTCTCCTTGTGTTATGTATGGGTGCTATCAGTTGTTTTGTAGCGTTCTATTTGCACATATATTGGCTGTAATATTGTATGTGTTTGTGAGTAGTTTGTGGTATTGTGAATAATACCTATGAATGTGGGCTGTGTATGGGGGCTGCTTGTGGAATTGTGTTGTGGATGATATGTCACATAGTGTTTGGTAGTGTGTATGTGTGGGGCTATTTGTGGTATTGCTTATTAGGCTGCTTTTGGGTTTGTGCGCATGAATGTGAATTGTCAGTGTTGCTGTGTTTGTGGGGACTGTGTGTGTGTTTGTTTGTGGGCTGTTTGTATTATTTGAATGACGAGGAGGCTACTTCTGCAGCTCTGTCTATATGTAGCAGTGTGGGTGGCTTCGCTGGGGTCCAGTGGGGACTGTGGTGGCCAGGTACAGGTCAAGGGCAGCACAGATTTACTCCAGTGCGGATTCTCATTCACAAGTGCTGGGAGGAAGTGATCTGAGATCTAAGATCACTTCCTCTAAATGCTGCAATGAGTTAATTAAGGATTGTCCATCAACACTTGCAATCGCCTGTGGGTTTGCACTAGCAAATATCTGCTATCCAGGACTCCTGATAGTCCAAAGTCTGTTCGGCTCTGGCAGTCTTGAATGCAGTGCAAAGGTATCTTGAGTGCCACGAATGGCACACGTGCCATAGGTTGCTGACCCCTGATCTAGGAATGCATAGCTTTACCACTCTCCCACTTACAACTTGGCTTCACCATGGTTCATTTATTTACAAACACTTTTTTAACATTCTTAACTTGCCCGTAAAGTTTTCTGCATTCGTTTTTTTGTTTTCTTTTACTCTCTTTTACTGCCCCGCAAGAAAAGGGAGAGGGACATCAAGTCACTGACCCATCAGGAGCTTTGTCATTAATAACATTTCACTTCCATTTGAATTTGGGAAGCATACCCAATTCTGCTGTAATCACCTAAATGTTACCTTAAAAATACAAGTACTTGGTTACACCATATGGACATGGAGTGTTAAAGGGTAATTGACACCCAGGATTTAAAATAAATATTGTTTACTTATCTTTATATTTCACAAATGGGCACTAGTAGTCTACACCTTTTTATCCTGCAAATGGGTGACTCCATCTTACATTCCTGTCAATCAGTGTGTCCCATTGTTATCATTGCTGTTCATTCCACCTGATGGGGAGCATACAAATAATATAAATATAAAAAAATATACAGAGCAGAAGACAATTAAACATTGTTTCTAGACCCCCTCTACATTTGCAATTCTTGCCCTGCCTGAATGGATTATGATTCAATTTGCTGAATATCAATATAAAATTTTTTTTTTTTTTTTTTTAAAGTAAGTTAACAGGTCATTCCATCTCAAGTGGTCAATAAAAATAAATCAGGATGGGTTTAGCTCCTTGGAGATAAACATTTTACACATTCTTGTTTCTTAGTCTTAGAACTTGAGACCTTAAATAATGATCTGCCAGTTAAACTTTGATAATAGAAAGAGCTAAAGTCTTAGTCCTTAATTAGCTAATTTACTACCATACAAGGCTTATATCTGTGAAAATGTCAGATTTCTATCTGATATTCTACCCAAAAGTGTGGGGAGGTGTTGAACAATTGCACTGCAGAATTGTTCATTGTATAAAAGAAATCTGAAATCCAAAATGATCAGCATGCACACTATTTAGGTACCCCTAGCAAAAAATATTACTGGAGCGTGAACCCTTCCCATTATATATTTGCCCTAAAAGTGGAGTTTTCAGTGTTCTTCAGCATTACATTAGGACATAAGTACTAAGTCTACGAAAAAAGAATATGCAAGATACTTACATGTACATATGCAATGTACCTTGTAATGTGCTCTAGAGATTAGTTTTGGTCCAAGGAGCTAGGACCACCCCGAGCTGAGATATTAAGTTTTCTGTAAACATCTGTGCCATGACACAAAGACAGCCGCCGTGGTTAAGCCAAGTAAAACAAAGATTAAAAACTGGTAGTTTTGCAATGCCAATACATAGAGGTAATCATCAAAAAACCTGTGCTGGACAACACGAGATGGATTAACCCTAGCACAGGTTATGGGTGATATTTAATGTTTTATTCAATGGTGCTATTTCCAGTGAAATGACTCCTAACCAAATTTTATCAAGGGAGGTAAACATGCCAGCTCTAAATTGGGCTGATCTTGCTAACCTTCTTTAAAGGTCTAAAAAGACACATAAAGTACTTCAGCTTGCTGAAATGCTTTATGTGTCTGGAGGCGGTCATCTTTGTGACCGTTTACAAAAGTGCTGCTTTCAATAGAAATCGGCTCTTTTCTATCTGGGGTCAGAAACACCTCCCTGACTGTATACTGAGCTAATGGAAGAGGCAGGCGTGCTAGGCCTTCTCTACTATGGTTCACTGACAAGAATAAGAAAACCACATTTGTGTACGCATGCATGCTTAGGGCTCAAGCACAGAGGCTTCTCAATGACAGTCTCTGATTGGTGCATTCCCCGGCACAGACTGAAAGTCTGTCTCAGGGAAAGAGGGGACTTGTAGAAAAGGCTGCAGACTTTTCTCCTATTTCCCCAAAGAAAATTAATCTAATAAATTGCTAAAAAAATAAATAAAAGAAAGAACATATTTTAATGTTTATTTAATGTTGTGATTATAGGACATATATGCTGCCTTTTTAGCCTTGCAAACAAAAACAGTGATACTTCTGTTTACATTTTTCAGACTGAGTGGAGGACAGCCTGGCATGGAAGGATGGACTGGGGGGAGGATAGGCTGGCTTAGAATTTGGGCAAATAATTCCTCTTCCATCAGGTCAATGATCGTTATAGAATTGCCGATTAAGATACCATTTAATGCAAATTGAAAGCTCCTACAATAATACGTGAAACATTTTATAAAATTAACTCTTATTAAAGCATAGCAGTGGACCCTAAGAAAATGAAAATGCAACATTTTGATTGTAATTGTGAATCACAGGTTACATGTAATATACCAGGAGAAACATATTAGTACGGTAATTATCTCCTGACCTCCTGCCAGTCATCATAAACATGACATCAACAAGCATTATGATATCAAGTAAAAGCAGCACATTTCAAAAATGATAACATCAACTTTAATGAAATGCTTTCGGGAATCAAGAATGGACACAGAAGAGGTTTATTTAGTCTGCTCTGAATGTTTAGCAAATTGACTATGGAATAGCAAATTTATAGCAAAGAGGAAAAACTCTTTCCTCTGAGAGACCATTTATCCCATTACCCCCAATCATTACCCACAGCCAGTATTATCCCACTACCCCCAGCCAATATTATCCCATTACCTCCAATCGTTATCCCCAGCCAATATTATCCCATTACCTCCAATCGTTACCCAAAGCCAATATTATCCCACTACCCCCAGCCAATATTATCCCATTACCCCCAATCGTTACCCACAGCCAATATTATCCCATTACCTCCAATCGTTACCCACAGCCAATATTATCCCATTACCCCCAATCGTTACCCACAGCCAATATTATCCCATTACCACCAATCGTTGCCGACAGCCAGTATTATCCCATTACCCCAATCGCTATCCACAGCCAGTGATATCCCAATACCCCAATAGTTACCCACAGCAAGTATTATCCCATTACCCCCAATCGTTACCCACAGCAAGTATTATCCCATTACCCCCAATCGTTACCCACAGCCAGTATTATCCCATTACCCCCAATCGTTACCCACAGCCAGTACTATCCCATTATCCCCAATCGTTACCCATTACCACCAATCGTTGCCACAGCCAGTATTATCCCATTACCCCAATCGCTATCCACAGCCAGTGATATCCCAATACCCCAATCGTTACCCACAGCAAGTATTATCCCATTACCCCCAATCGTTACCCACAGCCAGTATTATCCCATTACCCCCAATCGTTACCCACAGCCAGTACTATCCCATTATCCCCAATCGTTACCCACAGCCAATATTATCCCATTACCCCCAATCGTTACCCACAGCCAGTATTATCCCACTACCCCAGCCAATATTATCCCATTACCTCCAATCGTTACCCACAGCCAATATTATCCCATTACCACCAATCGTTGCTGACAGCCAGTATTATCCCACTACCCACAGCCAGTATTATCCCACTACCCCCAGCCAATATTATCCCATTACCTCCAATCGTTACCCACAGCCAATATTATCCCATTACCACCAATCGTTGCTGACAGCCAGTATTATCCCATTACCCCAATCGCTATCCACAGCCAGTGATATCCCAATACCCCAATCGTTACCCACAGCAAGTATTATCCCATTACCCCCAATCGTTACCCACAGCCAGTATTATCCCATTACCCCCAATCGTTACCCACAGCCAGTACTATCCCATTATCCCCAATCGTTACCCACAGCCAATATTATCCCATTACCCCCAATCGTTACCCACAGCCAGTATTATCCCACTACCCCCAGCCAATATTATCCCATTACCTCCAATCGTTACCCACAGCCAATATTATCCCACTACCCCCAGCCAATATTATCCCATTACCCCCAATCGTTACCCACAGCCAATATTATCCCATTACCTCCAATCGTTACCCACAGCCAATATTATCCCATTACCCCAATCGTTATCCACAGCCAATATTATCCCATTACCACCAATCGTTGCCGACAGCCAGTATTATCCCATTACCCCAATCGCTATCCACAGCCAGTGATATCCCAATACCCCAATAGTTACCCACAGCAAGTATTATCCCATTACCCCCAATCGTTACCCACAGCAAGTATTATCCCATTACTCCCCAATCAAGTACCCACAGCCAGTATTATCCCATTACCCCAATCAAGCTACTCCCCAGCCAGTACTATCCCATTATCCCCAATCGTTACCCACAGCCAATATTATCCCATTACCCCCAATCGTTACCCACAGCCAATATTATCCCATTACCACCAATCGTTGCCGACAGCCAGTATTATCCCATTACCCCAATCGCTATCCACAGCCAGTGATATCCCAATACCCCAATCGTTACCCACAGCAAGTATTATCCCATTACCCCCAATCGTTACCCACAGCCAGTATTATCCCATTACCCCCAATCGTTACCCACAGCCAGTACTATCCCATTATCCCCAATCGTTACCCACAGCCAATATTATCCCATTACCCCCAATCGTTACCCACAGCCAGTATTATCCCACTACCCCAGCCAATATTATCCCATTACCTCCAATCGTTACCCACAGCCAATATTATCCCATTACCACCAATCGTTGCTGACAGCCAGTATTATCCCACTACCCACAGCCAGTATTATCCCACTACCCCCAGCCAATATTATCCCATTACCTCCAATCGTTACCCACAGCCAATATTATCCCATTACCACCAATCGTTGCTGACAGCCAGTATTATCCCATTACCCCAATCGCTATCCACAGCCAGTGATATCCCAATACCCCAATCGTTACCCACAGCAAGTATTATCCCATTACCCCCAATCGTTAC